GGGGGCCTGGGAGCCTGGGAGCCTGGGAGCCTGGGAGCCTGGGGACCCGGGAGCCTGGGGGCCTGGGAGCCTGGGGGCCTGGGAGCCTGGGGGCCTGGGGGCCTGGGAGCCTGGGGACCTGGGAGCCTGGGAGCCTGGGAGCTTGGGAGCCTGGGGGCCTGGGAGCCTGTGGACCCGGGAGCCTGGGAGCCTGGGAGCTTGGGAGCCTGGGGGCCTGGGAGCTTGGGAGCCTGGGGGCCTGGGAGCCTGGGGGCCTGGGAGCCTGGGAGCCTGGGGGCCTGGGAGCCTGGGGACCTGGAAGCTTGGGAGCCTGGGGGCCTGGGAGCTTGGGAGCCTGGGGGCCTGGGAGCCTGGGAACCTGGGAGCTTGGGAGCCTGGGGGCCTGGGAGCCTGGGAGCTTGGGAGCCTGGGAGCTTGGGAGCCTGGGGGCTTGGCAGCTTGAGTGCTTGGGAGCCTGGGGGCCTGGGAGCCGGGGGCCTGGAAGCCTGGGAGCCTGGGAGCTTGGGAGCCTGGGGGCCTGGGAGCCGGGGGCCTGGAAGCCTGGGAGCCTTGGAGCTTGGGAGCCTGGGGGCCTGGGAGCCTGAGGGGCCTGGGAGCCGGGGGCCTGGAAGCCTGGGAACCTGGGAGCTTGGGAGCCTGGGAGCCTGGGAGCCTGGGGGCCTGGGAGCCGGGGGCCTGGGAGCCTGTAGGCCTGGGGGCCTGGGGGTTTGGGGGTGACACAACCATGAAATGGTGGTATCGAAAGATACCGGTTGAGGCAAGTGGATTGAATAATAATCATTCTAGAATCCACTTGGGCCTCATGCCAATAAGTTCCAGTACAGCTGGGTGGTGTGATGTTGACCATAGTTCAGAGGAACTACTCTCGCCTCATGAAGCAGACATCCAGGAAGGCAGGTTCCAGCTTTAGACAGGTGAAGCCCCTGCCCAGACGCCAGTATGGACTTCTGCAGCAGTGCGGCAGTAGGGTGGACAGACCGGCATCTGACAGTTAGACAACAGAGCCTAGAGCTTAACAGTAAGCTTAACAGGATACAACACCTGGAGCCCCAACCCTCCCTTCCATCTCACCTCCCTGAGTGAAACCCATTCCCCCTCCCTGTCACCACCCTCCTAAATTAAAACTTCGGCTGCAGCCCCACTATCGGAGGTTGGCTGCACTTGCTGCACATGTATGAGAGCATGAGTATGCTGACACATACACACCCAACTCCTCCAACCAGCCCCAGCCACACTTCCTAGCATGTAGTGTTATCATCATGACATGGCTAAAGATTCCACAACGAAACACACAACCGTGGCACAGATGTGGCCCACCACTACCTGCCTACATCAAACAAATCTGCCGTACTCCGATAGCCATATCGGAGTACGACAGTGTCTTGATGCCCCACGTAAAACACATAAGAGCCCCGACCCTCGCCCCCATCTTAACTCCGTTCCCGGCTGGACGTTGGCCCCATCTTCCGAGGCCTGCTGCACGTGCAGCACATGGATGGGAACATGACAATTAGGGCAGGCACGTCAATGGCGGAGGCGAAACATACACGCCCCCCTCCCCCAACCTTCCCCAGCCACCCTCCATAGCATCAGGAACAAGAAAGAGGGCAACGGGTAACGATTCCACAACGAAACACACAACCGTGGCACAGATGTGGCCCACCACTACCTGCCTACATCAAACAAATCTGCCGTACTCCGATAGCCATATCGGAGTACGACAGCGTCTTGATGCCCCACGTAAAACACATAAGAGCCCCGACCCTCGCCCCCATCTTACCTCCATTCCCGGCTGGACGTTGGCCCCATCTTCCGAGGCCTGCTGCACGTGCAGCACATGGATGGGAACATGACAATTAGGGCAGGCACGTCAATGGCGGAGGCGAAACATACACGCCCCCCTCCCCCAACCTTCCCCAGCCACCCTCCATAGCATCAGGAACAAGAAAGAGGGCAACGGGTAACGATTCCACAACGAAACACACAACCGTGGCACAGATGTGGCCCACCACTGCCTGCCTACATTGGGACATTGGACATTGAAGCCATAATAGCCAAAGCCGTACATGAGCAGTTATGTCAGCCAATTGCATGGAAACCTCGTCGGTCGTAATTTTGTTCAGTAAACCTGACAAGGTTTCAAATGATTTCAGCCGACTTTCGGATATTGTGGCATGGACCCACTACATTAACGGACCTGGTCGACCAGGTCGATCGACGTCGGCCTCGGGTAACCTTGCCTATGTACTTATTTGTTCATCAACTATATTCTACTTTGTGCTGGAACAATCGGCGTTCCTTTGGGCCATGACCATGACTACCAATGGTCATGTTACATCGGAGCACCAAAACAAGTGGCAAACACCCTAAGTAACCTAAATTTCACTTATGATAAGTTCACCGGCTATATTCATGTTTCCCAATGTGCTTTCGGGGCTGCACGTCAAAAGTAACCTCGTCCAGACAACCGTCCCTTAGCTGCTGAGCCTTGGGCGCTACACGTCTCTGGACTGCCAAATGGCCGTAGGTAGAGAGCAAATCGTAAGGACAAATAATGCCTCCCTACACTCATATTTGATGGCAAACATGTTAACTAACCTCGTCATAACATTTCACACACTCAGCGCGCATATCTGTGCCTAATTATGACACTTTCAAGGTTGCACATTTATCAAGCTTCTAGCTGGCGAGTAACCTGTCCAGACAACTGCCCCGTAGCTACTGAGCCTGACGAGTTACACGTCTCCGGACTGCCATAGGGCTGTCTGCCACAACAGGATATTGTTGGCAGGATGTTACACTCTGGGTGGGTCACCCAGATGCCGAGAAAGAATTTTTGATGGCTTTTAGGGTTTTGGGAAGCTAATTGCTAGCAATTGTTCAATTCACTTAAGCTGTTAAGCGGTGCCAAGGGCTGTAGTTGCTAACAGGCCTTGAAAGCTGTTACGAGCGGGGACATGCTAAAAGGAAGTTCCATCATGTTACTGGCTGTTGCCATTAGATAATTAGCTGAACTTTTGTTGAAGGATTTTAATTGCCGTATTGAGGTTCAGACACTGTAAATTTTATGAGCTTTTACATGATTCCCTGTCCACTATTAAATCACACATTCTCTTTTTTTTGGAAAGCTGTCTGACTTCATTATTCATGCCATCAGCTGATGGCATCTGCTGCAGCATCTATTTGCCATCATTGGGGATAGAAGCTTGTACTGCATGGGTAGGCACAAAACCACATTCATCAGGAATTATATACATTCTTTACAAATCTGGAGGCTGCTACCAAAATCATCACAGCAACAGCAGTACCTTTTCTTGGCATGCAATTTTACACACATGTTCTTCATCAACCTTCACCTGTGACCTGTTTCACACTACTACTGCACTGCTTCCATTTTTCCTAGTGAACACCTAGGTAGTAGGCCTACTACACACCACTGAACCACATAGCTCTAGACTGCAGCTGCCCACTTGCTCTGTATCCCTGCTCATCAAGGAACCTCTCTAAGCAACCAACGCCAGCTTGCCCTTGTACTGGACCATGGAGTCATTCCATAGAACATTTGTGCAGCCATGGGAGAAAGCCCACTCCTTGACCTGCTGCTTGCTGAATCTGCCAAGTAGGCTCTGCACTGGAAGCTCTACGACCGTGTGCTTCTTGAGCTCCTTGCCAACCTTAATGGTACCACTGGGCAATACCATGGAAGTCTTCTTGCTGTTGTTCGCCCTGTGCAGAATGAAAACGGACACCTTGTCCGTGTCGTGCATCGTGAATATGGAGGGACCGACCAGTGCTTATTCAACATTGTGGACATGTATGAAAAGAAACATAATTATTATCCCTATGGCATAAACATGCCGGTTACCGACCGTTTGGGGCCCATTAACCCAACCGGCCGGTTGAATGGCGTTAACGGCCCGGTTGGGTTAACGGTCGGTTGGGTTAACGGTCGGTTGGGTTAACGGTCGGTTGGGTTAACGGTCGGTTGGGTTAACGGCCGGTTGGGTTAACGGCCGGTTGGGTTAACGGCCGGTTGGGTTAACGGCCGGTTGGGTTAACGGCCGGTTGGGTTAACGGCCGGTTGGGTTAATGATCAGTTGGGTTAACGGTCGGTTAATTGGATTAATGGTCAGGTGGGTTAATGGTCAGGTATTCATCCTACCTAGCACCCTGCCTGCATGCCTACACACCTGGGACAGTACTGTTATCACTGCCTCCCACATCATCTTGGCACCATGCCATTAAGCATATTCATATATGATTCAGGTATATACCTAAAATACCTAAATTTATCCTTGTCCATGTGTGCACACCACTGTCACCCGTGTCACCTGGCATTCCTTGACTGCACAAGGCCATCACACCTGTCACCTGTAATCTGCATAAACCTTCCTG